AAGCCCCCCGGCCCGGCCGCATCCTGGCCCGGTTTCCTCGTTAGCGGAGCCTTCCGCCGCCCTCGTTAGGGAGTAATTAGCGCCCCCCCTGGAACGGGCCCATTGCGGGGCTGAGCCCCTCACCCCGGCGTCGGGCCGGCCGGGCGGAAGCGGCCGGCGTTTCCCAGAGCCGTTTTTCCCTCCTTATCTTTTCCGGCCACCTGCGGCCGCGGCGCTTTGCGCGCCCGGGGTTTCCTCCCGCCCGGAGCCGCCCGGAGCCGGGATTTTCCAGGACGGGGGCCAAGGCGGCTCCCGGGAATGGGAACGGGGCGGGATGGGGATTAGACTCCCAGCCCACGGTCCCACAGGAAGCAAACCTTGCACACCACGATCCCCCCAAAAGCCCCGAAACAGCCCCAAAAACCCACCCGGGCGTCGCGGGGGGTGCCCGGACGCCTGGGCCCCGTTGACATCGGCCACCGCAGGTGCACGCGCACATCATGGGGCTGCTCAAGAAGGAGATGCCGGCCGTGTTCGGCAAGGGCAGCAAGAAGAAGCAGCTCATCGCCAAACTGCCGCTGCTCTTCGCCCGCATCCAGATGGAGCAGCACATCCCGCCCGGAGACTTCCCGGACTGCGCCCGCATGCAGGTGGGCACGGGGATCCCGCTTCGCACACCGAAAAACGCGCTTTCTGCGCCCAGAAATCCTGCTTTCCGCACCCAGAAAACCCGCTTTGCGCACGGGAAATGCTCTTTCCGCACCTGGAAAAGCCGCTTGCTGCGCCCGGATAACCGGTTCCCACCTGCTTCCTTGCACCACGGCATCCCAGAACCAGCTTTTTTGCACCCGGATAACCGGCTTTAATCCGCTTTGTGTCTCCGGGAGGTGCGATAACCAGCGCTCCGCGTTGCACTCGGATATCCTGCTCTATCGCACTTGGAAAACGGCTCCATTCCCCGGATAAGCCGCTCGGATCCGCTTTTTGGGAGCTTTTAGCGCCCCCGGACGCCCCTCTCCGTTGCATCCGGACACGCCGCTGTTGCACCTGGATGCGCTGCTCTTTTGCACCTGGAAAACGAGTTTTAATCGGCTTTTCTGCACCGCGTGGGTCCCCGGATCGGCTTCTTGCAGCCGCCGTGCCCTGTCGCACGTGTCCTGCTCGTTGTGCCCCTGTGTCACACTCACTGCATCCCCTGTCCCCATGCCACGCTCACAGTGTCCCCACATTCTGCTGTGTCCCCACGTGCTGCTCGTTGTGTCCCTGTGTCCCCCGTGGCCCCATGTCACACTCGCCATCTCCCTGTGTCCTGCTCACCGTGTCCCCTATCCCTGTGTCCCTGTGTCACTCTCATTGTGTCCCATGTCCCCGTGTTTCCTGACCCCTATTCCTGTCCCCCCCCCGGCCCACGGTGCCCCGTGTCCCCGTGTACCCCCCGCTCACGATGTCCCCATGTCCCCCTCATTCACGGTGTCCCCATGTCCCCGCACTCA